TGAGAAGGGGTCCGTAGGCTTCACCAGACACTGCCAGAGGGATCCGTGACACAAAAAATGGTTAAGCTCTCTAAAGGTTCAGCTGCTAGCTCGCTTCAAAACCTAGTCAGCCAGTCCCGGATCTTGACCACTGAAACATCACCTACTACCTACTTGATGAACATGACCCTGCTGTTGCTTGATTTCTGAGAAGAAAATGTGCTCGAGAGCCCCAGAAAGAGTCTATACATGATGAGATAATCACATCATGGCCAGTGGAATTAGGCACCTAGGCTATCTAGAGGGCTCTTCTTGATCCCTGAAAGCTTGATTTGATGGTGCTTTAGCCAGACAGATCAAACACACTAATCCTAAAGATATGGATTGATCGGTTATGAATGGCCCCAGTGGGAGGGGAACGGGAGGACAATCCCTCCCATTTCTACATGCTGCTAGAAGAAGAGTGAGAAGCCAAGGAGGAGGTTAGGGGAAGGAGAGGACGACCTTTAAAAGATGACTTCTGACTACATGGCCTTAAAGTCCATGTATTTACACACACACACACACACACACACACACACACACACACACACACCACACCACCACCACCAAAACCACAACATTCTTGGTTATTTCTTTGGTGCCCCATTGACAAACACTTCTCTCAATCACTTTCTTTACTGTTCAGGACTGGGAGAGACAATGGAGAAGCTTGTCTCTTATAATGGAAATTCACCTTATCTTTTCAACATTAAGAAGAAAAATGTTTAAAGCTCCTAAATGACCAATGTTTGCAAGACTTTTATTTGTTCCCTTTACAAATGTGTGCTGCCCCCAAATTTCTAGGTCATACATTTGCAGTCTAGAGGGCATCTAGGAATTAAAATGTCAAGCAGATTAAAGAATTAATTTATTGTTATTGAGTTGGCTGAATTCATTTTGCTAATTCTATTAAGGCTTTTCCATTTTCTGGGGGGTTTTTTGATATTTCTTGTTGATGACTTTTTAAATTTATTTCACAAACATTTCCCAGTCTACCTCCAGATTGATTCCTTGGTGCCAAAGGAAAAAACCAAAAACACCCATAAGTGATTATATCTGCCGTTGCATCAAATATTCTGACCTAGTGGTCCCCCACTTCTCTACCATTAGGGAGAAATTAGGTTGGAAAGTTGTCAAATTTAGAGCCTCAGCTGAATATAGCTGCAGTGAATCTGGTGGGGGCCGTGTCTTGGAATCAGGTCAACAGGAGCCGCTTCCCACCACGTGGAACTCCTATGCTTTGAACAGAGAGCGCATCCAAATGGTTTAGTACCAGCACTGTAGGCGGCCAAAGCTAGTTGTTCCATTCATCTTTATTATGTAGTGTGAACAGGAGCTCCCTGCACACAGCCTTTGAAGTTTTCCTTATAATTTGACTTCCCACCCCTCCTGTAACCCTGATTCTTTCACGCTTTTACTATTCCCATTTCCTTTTTCCATAGCAACCTTTACAGTTAAAATTACAAGTGATTTTGTCATCCTAGCATAGTATTTGCAATACCTATCATTCACTTATCATACATACTACAGGTACATGATGGGAGGATCAAGGGAAAAATAAATCACTCTAATGCTTGTAATACAGGTTTGACCTGGAAGTGTCCTTAGAGATAATCTAATCTCGCCCCTTCATTTCATCAATGGACTGTATATCTGTTTTCTGAGTACCATCCTGGCTAATTTCAGAGAAGTCCATTACCCATCACCAGGTTGCTACAGACTGATGGCTTTTTCAGCAATTCATGAAGACTATTATACTTATGATATACATTAGGAGAGAGGGAATCCACATCAAGCAAAACATAGATCATGGAAATATTGAGGTTTTGCTAATAGAGAATAAACTTGAGGAAAGAATAGAGATAATTGATTGTAATAGTAACAGCTAGCATTTACATAGTGTTTTAAGATTTGCAGAGCACCTTACAAATATTATTTCATTTGATCCTCTCCACAGTCCTAGGAGGTAGGTGCTATTATCATCCCCATTTTACAAATGAAGAAACTGTGGCAGACGGTGATTAAGTGACTTGCCCAAGGTCACACAGCTAGTAAGTGTCTCAGGCTGGATTTGAACTCAGGTTTCCTGAATCCAAGTCCAACACTCTTTCCACAGTTCTACTTAGCCAAAATAAAATATGTTGACATAGTTTCACAAGGTATTTGAAATGCTTATAAACTTCCAACCAAAAGCATATGGATTACTTTTTGTGATAAGACTTTTGGTGTCTCTACTCTGACTAAGCATTCTATTAATTAGGGTTTCCTCATACTTTGTGTTTTTACCTTTTCCACTCTCAACATGACATACATTTCTATAGGATTCCTCACTAACTTTTTCCCCCTTATAGATCTTAAGTCTCTCTGTAAGGGTGGATGTAATTTAGGTGATTCAATCAAGTCCTTCTTGTGTGCAAAGCAGCATGAAAGACAATATGATATGGTGTGTAGAAGAGCTGGCCTTGAAGTCCAAAATCAATTAATCAGTGAAGCAGTGCCTACTATGTTCTAAGCTATGCTAGGCACCAGAATCCAAAATAGGTTGTTCCTACTCTCAATGGTCTTATGTTCTGCTAGGGGTATTCTTTGTTGTTAAGTCATTTTTCAGTCATGTCTGACTTTTTGTGACCTCATTTGGGGTTTTCTTGGCAAAGATATCAACTGGTTTGCCATTTCCTTCTCCAGCTCATTTCTTGAGTAAGGAAATTGAGACAAAAAGGGTTAAGTGACTTGTCCAGAGTCATACGGCTAGTAAATGTCTGAGGCTGGATTTGAACCCACGTCTTCCTGACTCCAAGCCCAGTAATCCATCCACTATGCCACCCAGCTGCCCCTAAGAGATATATCACATGTTTACCAATAAATAAACCCAGAATATATACAAATTAGTAAAAAACCATTGGGGCAGGGTGCTAACTACAGGAACGAGGAAAGGCCTCTTGAAGCAAGTGGCACTGGAGCTAAGCATTGACAGAAAATGCGGTCCCAAGAGGCACAGGTAAAGAGCGAGAGCATTCTAGGGCATTTTAGGAATAGGAGAGAGCTTGGGCAAAGGCATCCAGGGCACAGATGGGATAGCGTGCCTAGAGAATGGCAAGGAAGCTACTATGAATGGAATGAAGAGAATGGTGTGACAGCCTAGTGACAAACTGAGAGGACTTTCAATGTCAAAAAGAAGGTTGGGGAGCAGCTAGGTGGCGCAGTGGATAGAGCACCAGCCCTGAAGTCAGGAGGACCTGAGTTCAAATCTGGCCTCAGACCAAACACTTGACACTTACTAGCTGTGTGACCCTGGGCAGGTCACTTAACCCCAATTGCCTTGAAAAGAAAAGAAAAGAAAAGAAAAGAAAAGAAAGAAAAGAAAAGAAAAGAAAAGAAAAGAAAGAAAGAAAAGAAAAGAAAATTGGAAGCCGCTGAAGCTTCTTGACCATTGGCATGATAAAATCAGACCTAAGCTCTAAGAGTAGCCCTTTGGCAGCTGTCAGCAGGCCACATTAGAAAGGAGAAGCTTGAGATGGAGACACATCTAAGGAAGCTTCCAGGCAAGAGCCGATGAGAACCTGAACTAGGGAGACTGTGGTGGTGAGTGGAGACCAGAGCACAAAGGCAAGAGATGTTGGAAAGGGAAAATCAACAAGGCTTGGCAACTAATCAGATGATGGGTGGGGAGGGTTGAAGAAGAGAGAAGAGTCAAGGACGATTCATAGGTTATGAATTGTTGTTACCTCTGGCCAAAAGAAGACAGGAGGAAGAGTAGGTTGGGGGAGAAACATAACAGGTTCTCTTTTAAACATGTCAAGTTTGAGGTGTCTACACGGCTTGTTAAAGTGAAGATGCCTAGCAGGTAGTGAGAGATGTGCGCCTGGAGGCCAGGCGAGAGGGACAAGTCACTTAATCTCTCATTGCCCTGAATAATTTTCAAATTGTAAATTGCAGAGAAGTTGATAGCTTTCATCAGATAAGGGACTTTCATTCTGGGAGTTCCCTATATGCATGAAATCACATGTCCATACTTCTCTCTCTTTCATACACACACACACCAGGGCACTTCAAAGACAAAATGAAATGCCTTTAAGGAGCTTATTTATACAGGGTGTCCCAAAAGTCTTAGTGCTGGTTTAAGCTATTAAAACTTAAGTTGGTTTTAAAGCTTTTAAAACTCTAACCCACACTAAGACTTTGGGGACACCCTATATTCTACTGGACCTTATGTTCTCCCAGATGTGCTATGATATGTATTGCTTTCTTTTGCTATGATAATCTCACTGCCTGACTCAGTTCAAAGTATCCTGGTGACTTCTCTGTGTTTAACATTGATGTTGGGTCTTTGGGGGAGTACAGGTGAAATATGACTCATGATCCCTGCTCCCAAGAAACGTATAACCCTATTAGGGAGACAAGACATACACATTAAATGGTTAAATAATAGTGCCCTTTTAAAATGCATCCAAATGTTTATCCTACACAAGACTTTGTTCTGTGTTTAAAAAAAAAGTTTGAAGTGATATCATCACTACTACTGTTTTGTTTTTATTAACAAAGACGTCACCTTTATAAAACTTAAGATGTGGAAAGCACAACAATCCTGTGAAAAAGATATTTGAAAGACTATCCCCATTTTACAAATAAGGCTCGAAAGTTAAATGAATCATCCAGGTTCACACAACTAGTGTCTGAGCCAGCATTAGGGCAAGGTCTCTACGGACTTAAAAAATCCAAATCTCTCCACCAGATCACTCTGCCTCTCTGTCATGTCTAATAAGATATTACATCCACATTGTACCCTATCCACCTATCATTGAGTACAATCCCATGAGTGTTTAGGATTTCTGAGATTATACATTATTCTTTATACATGCCCTGGTCTTTGTTCTGTAGTTTGTGGTCCCTCATATTTCTCTGTCTCTTTCTCTCTCCCTCTCTCTCTCTCTCTCTTTCTCTCTTTCTCTTTCTCTCTCTCTCTTTTTCCTACATTTCAGTGAGCGGTTTCTGGTGAGACTGAACAAGAATGGTGGGCCAAGGAACCCAGAGAAGATAGATCGAATGTGTGCCCTTTTTACAGTATGTGAGAATTCTCTTTCCCTGCTACACTGTGGACTGGGCCATTTCTGACCAAGGGCTTTGGTTTGTGGATGTTGTCACCCCGAAAACTGATATAATTTTTCTTTCTCTACTGACTAGGGCAAATAAGACTAGTTGTATGTTTCTGACAGATAATAATGAAATGTTTAAAGAAGATTGCAATCAACTACATGTTTTAATTGAATTTATGTGATTAAATAAACATTTTTAAGTGCCTTTTGGCTTATTTTTAAGTTTTACTCTACAATGTATAAACTAAACACTTAAAATTAGAGGGGAGTGATCTTTTTTTATTATATTTTTAACTTGGAATTACAAATGTCTTCTAAAGTTGTCCACTTGAATTTACTTTCTTAAAACTACCAAATACTGGGGCCATTTTCTATTGTGATCTGTATGTGTCAGTTTTATCCATCACAAATGGCTCCTATTCAGAATAACTACTTTGAAGACACTTGCTTCTGAAGCTCCAGCATCCTAGAAATGTCAGCACAGTGAGGGACACAGTGAAGTTCTCATTAGAAAAACATGTTCTAGGTTTTTGCCATCAGGAAACTGCCCAGACATTCTCCAAGCTTCTTCTCGTGTGTTCACCATTTATTTATGCACTGAATAGCTAATGTGCTTCATTTACTTGAGTAATTCATTGATTTGCTAAAAAAAAGAGTACAAGGATTTGTTAGAGTTTTGATTATTGTTGATACTCTGTCCTTGGACAATATTATGTGATGTTAGAGAAAACCTGCTTAATCCAAAGATACTGTAGTGCTTCCCACCTCGATTACCCTTCTTTTAGTTTGCAGTATTATCCCGATATAAATAGCATTACTCATCCTCAGACTCTGTGTGTACATCTTTAATGTAAATGGCAGTAATTCAGAGACCTGAATGTGACCTGGATCTTACAGGAAAAAAAAAATTGCATTTTTTCCACATGAATTTTATTCATTTTGCTACTTTCTTTAAAGGTCAAAAAGTAGTGCAATAACTAGGCTATTACAGAGTCAGCAGCACCTGTCATTGAGGACAGTGAGCATATTGAAAATTTCCCAAATATGTGAAAAAATTTCAAATTAATAAGTCAAAATGATGTAATATGTCTCCATTTGAATTCAATGTTTTAAGAATTAGGAAAGTATTCAGTAAGAGAAATGGGCAGGAAAATAGAAACCATAAGAAAAACAGAAGGGAAATTGCATTTACTTATTCAGGAGAAAAGAAAGTGAGAATAGTGAGTGATTTCCTATTCTCATTGAGGAAGGAAGGAAAAAAGGAAAGGAAAAAAGAAGAGTATCTTAAAAGATTTGGGCTCCACCACTGGAAAGGTTTGCCCAAAGTCGGCTACTAGACTAGACAGAGGTAGGAAGAAGACACACAAGTGTCTTGAATAATTTCAAGTAGTTCGGTTTAGAGACAAGGAGGTGAACAAAATGGGCAATACTTTAAAGATTTCTGACATTCTGACCTTGCCTGATAAAATCACAAAAGAAGTCTTTGACTTGGGCCTCTCTAGCATCATGGAAATAGAGATTTGAGTGTATTCCCATTGAGTACATCCTCATACTCAATGACTGATTTTTAATAAACTTTATTATGACAGGCATTTGAATGTGATTATAAAATATTGAGCATTTCATTTTTTAAATATTTTATATTTCCAATTATGTGTGTGAATCCAAGTCTATATTCCAGTATCCACATGTATATACACACACATATTGAATTAGTGATTCCAATTTGTGTAATGAAAAAAAAAATCAATGAATCATGAATATTCTTGTTCCCTATTGCTCTCCAGGATGTTCCAAAATCTCATTAACTTATTTCTTTTGTGCCCTATCCACAATGACTGAACTTGGGGCTGGTTTTGCTGTTGGCACTATTTTATAAAAGTGCCTAACATATTTTTTTCTTTCTGTGGTACACATGGGATCCTTAAACATGACTGCCAGCTTTACAGAGCCATTACTTTGGCTAAAATCTACCTTATCAACTAACTAGAAACCTGTTTCTGTACTATAAGCAAAGAGCACATTTTGAGATTGCCATATATGTTACAGAGCTTCAGAGTCAATGTCCTAGAAATGTAAAAGTGGCTAATGAAATTCCTATAGTTTATTGTTTCTCTTCACACAGATTTTAGCTTTTCCTTAAGGTAATTTCTCCTAATTTATAATTTATAAACTATAATTTATGAATCATAGAATTCTCTTTTTCTGGAAATTCTTTCTCTTTTCCAGGTTCCTTAGATTTTAGAATTTCTCCATAAAAGGAAAAATCTTTCCAAGGAACTTTAAATTTGCTTACGTTTTAAAATAAGTGCCAATTTTGTGGGTTTTTTCCCCACTCTTCATGGTGTATAGTACGAGTGACCATGTATATGTGAATAAGATATAGACACATATGCATATAATGCGTTTTACTTTGATAACAGTTTTGAGTTCACAACCCAAATGATAAAATTTTGCACTATTATTAGTTGAAGTTCGGAGTCCAACTTGATGGTTTCTATAATTATATCATGACATAGTTATATTTACCTTTTTCTGTGGGGTTATTTTTTTTAAATGTTGGTGTGATTTTATTTTGTTGTTAAAAATCTTCATGCCATCCCTAGGAAATAAGTAAAAGCTAGGGCATAGGGAAGCTAACTGTATTTCTAACACCTCATAGCATACCCTAACTGAGCTCCATGTTCTCTCCCTTACATCAAATTGCTCTGCCCTCTCCCCACACATACACCTTCTGCCCCTCTGGCAGAGGATTAGACTCCCTGATTCTTTATGATTTGGATAGAAGTTCAGATTTGCTACACATTTAGTTCAAAAGCTACTCACCAACTATGAGGCTCTAGGTCTGGACAACACTGAGTTTTCTGTGTCCTCCTTCCTTCCCTTGTTTTCCATTTGTCTCTTAAATGGTAATATTATCAATCATACTTGATACTCACTATTAAAGAGCAATGTTTTTATCAACCCAAAATTATGTTTAACTGTGCATTTAATTTACATTTAATAAAACAGCTTTTACATTGGAAGCTTAATGTACTGCGAAACTAACTTACAGCAATTTTCATTTACATTTGCCAAAAAAAAATTTTGTTATTACTTTTATCATTATTAACACCTATTAAGTACCATCCTGATAATACAGTGTGATCTAAACAGGAGTCCTACCCATTCACTTTAAAAAAACATTATAAGTACCTTTCATTCAATGTTAAATTACATTCGAGTCTTCTTTATTATAATTAATAACCAGCAACAACAGTGGGAAAATTCCAATTTGAGTGCACATGGAATATCTGGTTATTATGTGGCCTTCTATGGTAATCTGCTATAGGACTACAAACACAGAGAGGTAAATTAGCATGAATAATATTGGACTTTTGTGGTAGCTTGAATTATATTAGCCTAAACCCAACAGGAACCATCTCATTTGAAAATACTCTGTCCTTCTCAATTGTACCTCAAAACAGCGGCCTAATGTCGATTCATAATAAGTCATCTGAAATTTAGCAATAAATTGATTTGATATTTGGTGTTTTATATTTCACAGTGATCTTAATGGGTATTCAAATATGAATTCCATTTTTTTAAAAGAAATGATAATGAAAAGAGACCAAAATGCCCTTATTTTTCATTCAAAAGATTACATCAATAAAAAGGATCTCCACAGAGATGTAAGAATTTGACCACTTTTTTATCATTACTGTAATTACTGTTGTTATTTGTTAGCTCTTACCACTTCCTGTGCTTATGACCCTTGGGGACACAGAGTAACTTAGATATTTCATGGAAAAAGCATGTGGCAAACCTTTATTTGCCAATTAGCATGTAGCCTACCAAGATTCCAAGCCTAACAGCATTGTTAATCCTTGCAAGGAACCGTGTAATGCTAAATGCAATTCTCCCCACACACCCCTGCAAGGCACATGAAGGTAACTTCTCTTCTTTAACTTCACTCTGACCCTTTTGTCCCACTTAATCCTTAATCAAATACAGTTCTTCTTACAAGGAGTCTTCCTGTCAAATTTCTTAGCTAAAGTAGAGTTGCCAACCAATCGGTGAATATTACTTAACTATATGATATACTTCACCCTTCTTAACGTTGAAGCTTCTCTGCAAACATGCAATTATCATCCAGTTAGACCTGAATTCAAATCTGGCTTCAGACACTTACTAGCTGTGTAACCTTAGGCAAATCACTTAACCTCTGTTTGCCTCAGTTTCTTCATTTGTAAAATGGAGATAATAATAGCACCCACCTCCCAGGGTTGTTGTGAAGTTCAAATAAGATAATAATTGCAAAGTGCTCAACACATAGTAAGCACTATATAAATGTTATCATCATCATCATCATCCAGTTAGCATATCTATTAACTATCTGTAGTCTTTGTTTGATATATTTTCTATTAAAAAAAAAACTAGTGGGATCCTTGGTCCCAGTTTTATCCCAATATTATTCATATCTGTTAATAATCTCCACATTAATATAGATATGCTGGGTTATCTTGTTGGGTACCCAGGAAAACTAAATAACTCTCTGGAATCTGAACACTTCACCCTAGTAGGACTACGTTATTTTTAAATTAGAACTCTTCTTTTATTCATTCACGTTCATCTGAAAGTATACTAAAAATAACCCTGGAGGTCGAGACTTCTCCCACCTAAAGTGCATCTGAACTTGTTTCCTTGCAAACATTCGGTTTGCATATACTACTTAGACTTTATTTTTACGTAGTTCCCATTGAAAGCCCTGCTTATTTAGAATAAATGAGCACTTGAGCCACTTGCATTGCCCTCCTATCTTGCTTGTTCAGCAAAAGTGAGACTCGTCTCAAACCAGTCCAATGGTCACAGATGAAGAGACGAAGAAAGGGTAGCTTAGAGAGAAACAGAAAAACAAAGAAAATCTTGTACATTAGGGAAGGCCAAATCAGTCATGCCCTGCTGAGTCCAAATAAATGGGGACAGGCCAGGCCGGCTTAATGGAAAGCCTGTACTAAAGAAGATTAAAAACAAAGTTTTTGCTTTCAAGCATAGTACATAAGTAAGGCATAAACAGATTATCCTAAATTATATAGTACTCTGTTTCACTAAAAATAAATTATAAATAGAAATGGACTTTATAATACAGCAGGCAATTGCTAAACTTTTATTAGAAAGACATACATTTTGGACCATATATTCTTCCTTGCAAGTAAATCTCTAAAAAGGTACAGGATTGTTTTCAACATTTTTACTTGGAAAAATTACATGTACTATATCTAAAATATTGCATAACTGATTGCAAACCATAGGTGACCAAATTAGTGAAGTTCTACTATTTATAAAGTTCTTATCTGTGTTCCAAAGCCCCATGTATCTGGAGATATTTTCTTGAGGCCACATCTATGTGACTCAGATGTAGCCCTTCTTTCCCCCTGCGTTATCTATCAGTGCACGTTGGAATAGGTTGCTTTATTTTCCTTATTATTACACATTTAAGCATTAGGTAATCTATAAGAAAGTGTTCAGTCTCTAAACTTCAATTGAAAATACAGTTGTAAGATGGAGCAAGGCTACAATTGATTCCAATATTCTCCCATTCCATAAATGGGAGAGAAGCTTTCTTGTATATATTTAATTTGTTAGATATTATTATATATGAACTCTACAGATACCACACCAAGTATATAACATCCTAAAACATACCAGTAACCTGAACATAGGAATTTTGATATTTGTAAAATAGTACTTACTTTTATGTCTTAAATTTATCTATTTATAACATATGCAAAATGTAACAAAAATCAGCTACCGTACTTGAAAACTGAAAAAAAATAACTTTTCAGTTCTTTGTATGTACTTGATGCATTGGGTTTGCTTAAATGTTTTTCTCTTTTCTTAGGACCTGAGCAGCAAAGATATGAAGAGAGATTTATACATAGTTGCCCATGTGATCCGAATAGGTACTGTATGCCTCATCCATTAAAATTATCAACTTTTTAGAATAAACATCTCAAGGTCATGAATCCTACGCCTCTACTTTTGTCCTCCCTGTCAATCTCTGTCTTCTTTCCCTTCTACTGAATCATGTCCCATCTATAGCCTTGGCCATAGACTGAACAACTATGATAGCACATATAAACCCTCTTCCCATTTTCTCTTTTCGTGGAGGCAGTAGTAGACTTTCCAGTAGTCTAGACCTCATTATCTTCTTTACCAGCATCCCTAAACTTGATCCAGCTACCACCCCACGCACATTCCCAGAGGTACTATGATAAATTTATTAGAATATGAGAGAATTAATGCTAAAGGTCACTTAAGACCAAAAGGATTAATCACTATACCTTCAAAAAGTGAAACCTTTATTTCTAACTCCACAAATAAGAAATAGCACTAGTTTGAGGGAATGTGCAAAGGAGGAGGGAAAAAGAAATGATAGATTTTTGCTCGTTGAAGAAAATTAATTTAATTTTTTTAGAAAGAAATAGCACTAGCTGATTATCAGCCAAAATTTATATTTATATATGTATGTGTGCTTTTTTCCCACTAAATGATGTCCATTACCCTGCTATTTGTATTGAATCTTCTTATACTGTAGTCAAAAGGAAAAAAAATAGTATTTATTGTTTATATTTTTTATTATGATGATTGGATATTGTTGGTATGGTTAATGTCCCTAATCAACTTTTCTGGGAAGCAACTGACTGGTGCAGGGTATTTATACTTTCATACAGGCAAGTGTTTTACAACTTCTTGTTAGCAAGACAAAGATCTACTTACTCTGCTTGGACGATTGGACTTTACTTAATGAAGAACTAACAGCAACCTATATTTTGTGATTATGTGAATGCCCTCTTGCCATCGTACAGGCAGCTACAGTAAGCAAAAAACCCGACATCGCTCTGCTTACTGAAGACTTCCCTTCCTCACATTAAGGTGGAGCGAGGATTTGGCTCAATCCCCTGAAGTATGATATGGATGAAATAACTTTGGCTAAGAAGTGCAAGTTGTCATCCTCCTCCTTACATAAAATTTCTACTTGGCCAATATACTAAAGTTTAGATTACTAATATAAATCTTTTAACATTCCCCGGGTACACATTTCTATAAAATCCACATGTAATCAGATTTTTGTATTGTCTAGGAATAAAGTTAAAATGGAGTGTAAGCAAGGTCTAGTATGTCAAAAATCCAAGTGTAATTGAAAGAACATTGGTCTGGTCTTTAGGAGACCTAGGTTATAGTACTGGCTGTGCCACTAATTAACCTTTGTGACCTTGGACAAGTCAGCTGCCTTCCATAGAAGTCATTTTCTTTAACAGTCAAGTGAAACTAGTCAGTCTAGTTCTGACTAAAACTGGGGCAGCTAGGTGTCACAGTAGACAGAAACCTAGGTCTGGAGTAAGTAAGACCTGATTTTAAATCTGGCTTCAGACCCTTTCTAGCTGTTGACCCTGAGCAACTCACTTCACTTCTGTTTGACTCAGTTTCCTCATCTATAAAATGGAGGTAATAATAGCACTGCCCTCTCAGGGCTGTCGTGAAGATCAAGTGGGATAATAATTGTAAAGCACTTAGCATAGTACCTGGCACGTAGCAAGCACTATATAAAGTTAGCTTTCATTATTATTAGTATTATTACTATGACAATAAGGGTTGGCAAATCTGGCTTGCCACCTGTTTTTGGACAGCCTACGGGCCAAGAATGGGTTTTGCATTTTTTTTTTACTGATTGAAAAAATTAGAAGAAGAATAGTATTTCATGATACGTGAAAACTGTATGAAATTCAGACTTCAATGTCCATAAATAAAATTTTATTAGAACCCAGCCACACTCATTCATCTACTTATTGTCTATGGCCGCTTTTACACCACGATGGCGGAGTTGCACAGGAGGAACAGAGACGTGGGTGGTGTTCTCATTGCATTGCACTGCTGCTTGGCACGCTACAAAGAATATTGAACATAGAAATCTACAAATACCTTCCAAGCTATGAAGATGCTCCCTTAAAATAACATGCTTGTGTTTTGATATCAGAATTTGTCAGTACTTACCTGTGTGAAAAGACATTTTCAAAGATGAAATATGTAAAATCTCATACAGATCAGCATTAAGAGATGACATGTGTAATCAGTTTTGATGATAAGGAACACTAACTTTGAACCTCAGTTAAGCAAAATGTTATCTCCCCACCCCCCACCCCCACCAGAAAAAAAAAAAAAGAATTCCATTCTTTTCATTAGTGGACCTGTATTACCAAAAAAAAAAAGATACTTTTTAAAATTATCATTAATTTGATCAATAAAATTTGTAGAAATTTACTTTCTCTCTTGTTATATAACAATCTCTATTTTGCCTCTTGGCCCTCAAAGCCTGGGGCTTTATATGAAAAGTTTACCAATTCCTGGTCTAGGAGATCTTTGCAGTCCCATCCAGTTCTGATATTCTCTGATACCTTATGTCCCAAATATGTGTATCTATAAATCAGTTATCAGATGGCATAAGTGAAAGCTGAAACCAGATTGAATCATGTTTTCTGACATCTTCTAGGTCGTATGTTGCTGAACGATTCTAAGAAAGGTCCTGCCCACTTACACTACCGACGCCCTTACGGCTGCGCGGTCTTAAGCATTGTGGATGTTCTTCAGTCACTTTCTGAATTAAAGGAAGAAAAAGATTTCGTTCTTAAAGTTTACACGTGAGTAGAAGAGGCAATGTATATCAAATTATTCAGTACTATATGACTACCCATATACATCGATAGAGATTCTCGGAACTACATTTTAGAGTAAAGGTTTTGCAGTTTTTGTGTTTCCTCTCCCTCTCAACATGATTTTTCCTTTCTTAATTACTTAATAATTAAGTTAATAATCTAATGCCACCTGTGTGAAGTATTCTATATCAAGTGATCATTGTATTTTTGGATCTGATGGTGTATATACATTTTTTCATTTTTCAAGTAACAGGTTTTTTTAAAATTTGTCCTTCACAATACCATTCTATCATTAAGCGCATTTAAAAACATCCATCGATATATAACTACATAGTCTAGCAAACCAAATTCCTGCATGAGCCATGTCCAAAAATGTACATCTCTTTTTGCATCTCCCTGGCAAGAAATGAATGTCATGTTTCATCTTTTTTATTGGATTTGTGATTTACCATTGTATTAATCAGAGTTATGAAGTCTTTTGGTATAAAGTTTCCAATTTTTGATGACCACAAAAATTGCTGTTATAAAAATATTTTTGTCCATATAAATCCTTTTCCTTTTTCTTTGGTTTCTTTGGGATATAGGCCTATATAGTTGGGTCAAAGGATATGCACACTTTGATAAGTTTCTGGGCAGTTTCAAATTACCTTCCACGGTTGCCAAAATGATTCACAGCTCCAAGATCTAATCCCTTAAGTGCAGCCCTTCAGAGAATGATAATGGGTCATATTTCCTTGGGCTATTAAAAGAAAACCTAAATCTCTGAAGAGCTGAGATTCACTCTCCATCAGTTTACCACAGGAGAATCATAAACTGCATTATTAGACTACTCATGGGACTAGTCTGAAAATGTGCTTATAAGCCAACTACCATCTCTCACAAAAGCAATGTACCTCTTCTTCTTGACCATTAGTAAGCAACTGGAGGAAATAATTAAATAAAGAATATTAAATAAAGCTAAAATTCACTGTACTGTGCATTCACTTGTAAAAACTTTGATGAAAATGAAAATGCTGAAAAATTGTCAGTAGACTTCTCCATGAACTTTTAAATATGGTCTTTTCCATGTAAGAGAATTTAAAATTAGCCCCTTCCCTCTTATGGTTTTCACTTCTTTTTAATAAATTAATCCTAACCATACTGTAGTTATTATATGATGCAGACTTCCCTAACACAATGCCAAAGCTTTCTACAGTAGCTGATGCATCATCTAACTCTGACTTAGTTAACTTTTATACATGTTTCTGCTTAGCTTAAGCTTTGACACCATCAGCTACATTTGACCTCTTTCAGAAAAATTGACAAAATCTGTTCTAAACTCATTTTGACTTCCATTCCTGGATGTTTACAAAGTGCTACATTTTATTGGATCATAAGTATCACTTAATGTTGGTTAATTACATTGAAAACATTATGTTTTCTTCCTTCTGTCTTTCTTATCCTCTCCTGTCCTCCCCTTCCCTTCTTCTTCACTCCTCTCCCCACATGGGGCATCATGCCTGAGGTAGTACTGCCCAAAGAAAAGTAAATTTTAATGGCTGAAACCTAGCTAGTTATCTCGGGATTTATTAGCCAGATTTCTTTCTTAAAGACCAAGCCTTAAACCCAATTCACTCTGGTTCTCAGTGATTGAACAATAGGTCCCTGCCCAAGCTCCACTTAATGGTTATTTTTTGGGCCCTCCTGGCTGAGAATGAATGTAAATTGTAATTGTTTCTCTCTTGTCCAGCAACCATGAGAGTCTTTCTCAGTTTGATTTTTTTTTTATTAAAGGGGCCATCCCTTGACTCATTTCTTAAACAGGCCTAATCACTGAATGGGCGTTGCCTTACTCAAAGTAAGAACTCCGAAAGACCTTAGCTTACGAAGGCCAAGGTCTCCCACTGCATCCTGGACCATCTCCAGTTGTCCTGATCTATATCCAACCCCTGGACCCAGATGGCTCTGGAGGAGAAAATGAGGCTGGTGACTTTGCACAGCCTTCTCTCTCGCTCAGATCCAATTCATTTGCATGTCATGTTATCATCTTCCTGATGTCATGATCCTCTTTGACAACAAAGGACAAACCTCAAGGACAGGCTAAGTCACCATATACCAGAAGTTTACTCCAGCTGTTCCAGCTGTTCCAGCTGTGAGGGTCTACTTTTTTACCTATCTTTCTCCTTTTATGAGGAGCTAAATGGAACAGTCTGACTTCAGCTTCCCCTTTCCCAGCTACACATACTATATATTTTCTTCTCCCCACATATATCTGCTACTAATTACTTTAGTTGAAATTTAAATTTCAGATTGGGTTTGATTAATGTATTTCTTGAAGCCATGCTTTTAAGCTCAATTCCTTAAAATGCAACAGCCAAACTTGATTGGCTGATTCTAATATGTCACTTTGCAAGAAATGGGACTAGAGTAAACTACCTCTCTGTGAGCTTATACAAACTAATTCTCAAAGAGCAATGAGAGAGACCTTCCTAGGGAAGGTGGTAGTACTTTTTAGCTTTATAAAAGAGTAAATTGAGATTAAGATGTAGGTAAGGGGTTTTTTTTCCCCACTTAACAATGCTGTTTAAAATTCAGACTTTCAAATAGGTCCCCTAAATGATTATTATATGGCAAATGGTTATTGTGAGCAGTATAAGAATTTCTCCTGTGACTTAAACCTACATATTATATCAGCATAATGTATCCAGCTCTTATTAGAAATATTTTTAAATAGGTTTCCAGGGAAAATGATGTTTGTTATTTCACTAGAACTGGAAGCTTAAAGTATTTGTTCATAGCTAATTGACAGTGCTATAACATATACTGAAGATGAGATTTTGCAAAGAGAAAAATACCTCTTGTACAGCTTTAATCACTGGGTTGGTTTTAAAAAATATTCAATTAGTTCTTGATATTCTCATAGTTTTCTTTTCAATATGCCGTCCTCACCAGGGATACAGAGCCAGCTCTTACTATTCAGGGACCAGAGCACTTAAAAAACCATCATCAGAACTTCCTTTCTTTGGCTTTGTCTCCCTACAGATCCTCCTATGAGAGACCACTAGAGTGGTCAGGGATTTCATTAATGTGTGTACACCCTCCACTGAGGCAGATCACAGAAGCACAGGTGAAGGAACATTGGATTTAGACTCTAAAGACCTTGTTCCAGCTCTGTAACTTACTAGGTGGATTCATTTGGCAAGTTGTTTAACCTCTTCAAGTTGCTGTTTACTTACCTGTAAAAGGAGGGTGTTGGGGGTAGCTAGGTGGTGCAGTGGATAGAGCACTGGCCCTGAAGTCAGGCAGACCTGAGTTCAAATCCAGCCTCAGGTCAAATACTTGTCACTTACTAGCTGTGTGACCCTGGGCAAGTCACTTAACCCCAACTGCCTAAAAAAAATTTTTTTAATTTAAAAAGGAGGGTGTTGGACTAGATCACAGGCATCAGGCCCACAGGCTGCATGGGTAAAACTGCCAAGATGGCCAGGACCAGATTAAAATGTAATTGGGAAATGTTTAACAAAATAAACAAAAATACAATATAATAGATAGTATTTAATTATAATTAATAATGGTTTAAAATTATAATAATTTATCATTAAATTATAAATGTTTATCTTTATATTTACAAATTTACTATTTGTACATATAACACAAAATTATAAATATGTGTAATAAATATATATAACCGTAACATAATATGAAATTATTATGTTTATAAATTATTAAAAAGCTAATTTGTGGAGGGGTTTAGATTAATATGTAGCAGGGATCCATTCCTATTTGAGTTTGACATCACTGAACTAGATGATCTCCAAGGTCCCTTCCAATAGTCTCGGATCCTGTGAACCCTCTATCTCTTAGTATATGACCTTCCTTAGTTACTATAGTCAGAAAAAAAAGTCCTTGGAAAGTCATTCCATTTTTGCTCTCTGGGAGAAGAACTAGAGAAGAGAGCAGTACTTCAGCTGAATATGGAGAAGGAAATCTTGTGGGTGACTTGGAGGGAGTTTGAGTAATGAAAGAGGTCAGACATTCAGTGAAATAGAGGACTTTCAAGCATTCTTGATGAAAAGGCCAGAGCTGAATAGAAAATTTTACTTTCAAATATAAGACTCAAGAGAAGTGTGAAAAGGTAAACAGGAAAGAGAAATCATAAGGGACTTGTTAAAGTTGAACTGTTTACATTCCCAGATGGAAAGATGATATTTGTAACTCATGAGACCTTTGTCAGTATTAGAGTAGTTGGAAGGGGAAAAAATTATATGGGTAGGTAGATAGATAGAATATAGATAGATAGATAGATAGATAGATAGATAGATAGATAGATAGATAGATAGATAGATGGATGGATGGATGGATGGATGGATGGATGGATGGCACAGGGTGAGTTGAAGATGAAGGGGTGATATCTAAAAAAGGGGTGATTATACTGGGAGAAGGAGAAAGGATGTCATGAGGACCAGACCGTGACATGGGCAGGTTAGGGAAGGAATAGTGGGGACAGTGTTAATGAATTAAACATAGGCCCACTTTTGTTTCATCCTTGTAGTGAAGTCACAAATCTTCTCAACGACATATTCTCTCCTCTCCCTCCTGCCTAAAAGTGGGAATTCATCCTTAAGATACTTTGTGCTACACTGAATCTTTCCCCCGTGGATAAGAACTTTGCGCCATGCCATGGGGGCTGTCTTTACAGTGGGTGTCCTGTCTCATCTTTCACGTGTACATCCCCGACATCTAGCACAGTGCTTAGCATAAAATAGATGCTTAATCAATACTTATTGATGGATTGATCAATCCACCTTACTCTAGTAGGGGAAAGGAGACACAGTAGAATCCTTGACATTTCATTTGTGGCCCTGAGGTTTTTGGCTTCTTTTCCAAATGATTTAATCTATATATCTTCCCAACATAATGAAAAGACAGAGATTTGCCTAAATGACAAAAGACCAAAATCGTGACCTTTTCATCCACATTATGTGACTGTATATATGTAGTATATA